TCTTGATTACCTCGAGAAGATTTTCATAACTATTATTTTCCTCAGTAAGAAAACGGCGGACAAAGACTTTAACAATTAGACCCTTCGCCCTCAAGGGCCACAGGTCAACAACCCATTCGGCTTCGCCTCAAGGGCTATTGACCCGTAGCCCTTTCGAGATACGGGTCTACTTGTTAAATAGATATATAGTGAGCAGCGTAGCCAGTCAGAGAACGCCATTCGTGATAGAACGCTAGAAGATTTTTACTAATGACAGATAATTCTACTAAAACTCTACAGAAACATGGAGAATGTTTCCTATTATTTCTCAAACATGACTTCCTACAGGGCCTAGTACGTTCAGAAATGAATCAAACTTGTCTGAAAATCCTTTAATTAGTGGATGATAGTCTTTGCATTGCCTTGTCTTATTCCAGGGTTGTTTTAATCTTACATTGTGGAAACGGTAGCAGACTTCTGACATCAACCCGGGCATATGGTATGGAAACAAATCACAAAATGGAGAATATCTTTGAAAACTATTAGCTACGTCACTGTTTGCACATTCTGAAAAGTTTAGCCTAAATTTTTCAAATTCGCCGTTTGTAATCCGCGTTAATCTTCTCTATCCTTAACCATCCTTGTTCCTTCAGTTTATGGTTTATTATTATCTCTTGAGTGGTTTTCTATCTTAGATAACTATTATTTTTCAGGTTTTCTTCAATTTTAAGGTTATTTCGTACGTCGCCAAAATACCGTGACTGAGCTCCTTTAAAATACATACAACTTTGCACAGATATTGTCTTAAAGTAAGGTAACGAGCAAAGTTTCATGGATTTTGACAAGCCTCTGAGGATAAATGAAGACGTGACTTTCCAGAAAAGGAATTCTATTGTAATACCCTTTTGTACATTCAACAGCAAATGTTAGAAGAATTACAGGCAATGAAATAAATAATATGTACAGAAGTGATGCTTAAAAGAAATTTGTAACCTGTCTTGCAAGATGATACAAACTCTACAACCGCAAAAAGGTCGTGAAAGTCTTCAACGTATTTGACCTTGGCAAATGTTCTCATCTGTGTAAATACATGTAGAATCTCTTCGACTTTCTAATTTTTCCTATTCTATTGTGTGGCCAATGTTTGCAGCATATTGTTAGTAATCGGCCAATGTCGTGGACTCGTGTAGTTTTCTGGTCTCGATCCGTCTCCGGAGTCTGGTAAAGCAGCAAGTTCATTCACTTCTTGGTCTGCATCTAACGGGTGAGGGAGAACTGGTTTCCTTGTTCCGATTACAGATAAAAGCTGTAGTTCCATTGGCCCAAGGCGAGGCGAGTCCTGCAACGAAATTTCATCAACATGCAACTTCAGTTTAATCTAAAGGCCACAAATTTTTTGTCGAAAGTATATATCGTTAGACAATTATGTTTTAGAAATTAACAGTACATGATTAAGAAAACAGGTTATCAGAACAAAGAAAACCAAATGGAAGGCAAACTCAAAATCCAGATCTCTTCGACTCTCCTGGAGCTCCTGTTTTTTTTTATAGATGCTGTCATAGATAGCATATCTTGAAAAATATAGACTAAAATTTTCAGCTTTGATGATTGTAATCTTCCTCAGTCTGTCCAAACCAGACTTAACAAATTGTGGTCTGTTTTAATTGTTTTTTGTTATTTCAGCTTTGATCTTACTAAGCTACTCCTTGGAGGTTCTCGTCAATTTAAAGGCCACTTTTTTCAGTGATTCCAACTTGAAACTGTGATGTAGTTTACATTACTGACAGTACACCCAGTGTGTAGAGTAGAAGTGATGCTGTACCTCAAAGTCATCTTCCCCAGGAAGGAAGTAATTATCAAGTAGATCATCAGGCTTTTCGTGTTGTTCTGCTAGCACTCCATGTGCCTCAATCAGCTCTTCTTCAAAATCATCTTCAACATTGCCTTCATCTGAACTCTCATCATCATCTATACAACTCAGATAAAACTTCCTGAAAAGAAACGTTCAGATTATTCAAAGCCCACCAATGTATAAAACCTTCTGCACCAGAATTTGCAGCAGCCATGATACTCCTTGGTGGAGAACAATGTTTCTTGCCAAAGAACACAAACTGGTTTGGTTTAATTCTCAATTAACAGACTGAGGGAAATGAAGAGAGGGGGGTGTCTTGCATAAGAACACAACACAATGACCCTGCCCCTATGCACTTATGTCCAGGATTGAACGCTAATGAGATGCATGCTCCTTATAATCAGAAGCACCACAGAGTGTCATTTTCATATTTGAAATTATTATGTGTGTTTTGGTGGCTTTCTTACAAATGAGGAGGACACATTGTGATGCTTATCATAAAGAGCATGAATCCCATCAGTGTGCATTCCTGGACATATCTGTCTTATCTTGGAGTGTACGATGGCTATTATCTTCCCAGACTAACCATAAAAACCATCAGAATTTAGCTTGGGCAAAAAGGTCCAAGCTATTATAGGGGTATGTAATCATCCAAGATGGATAACAAAATACTGACCTGGTGAACTTGAGGTCTTCAACTTTACAGTCAAACATTTCACTCATAATTTCCAAGTTTCTCTTTTCTAAGTCTTCTACACTTTCTGCAAGGTCAGCATGGCCTTCACGATGAATAGAGACCTGAAACAAAAATAAGCATTTCCAAAGTAGTTCTTACTGTGTGTCAGAATTGGCTTTTTCTGACTGGAGTTTTTGTTAAGCCTCTATCAGTGTGCTAATTAATCATCACTACAGGTAGGACAGATACTTAAACCAAAAGAATATGCATGGTAAACAATAACAAATCAATGAATATGAGTTTTAATCTCATAATGTTACGTCTGAATTTACAGACATAGCATCCCACGTGTTAAAACACTTGCCATCTCTGTTTTGAACAACCAACAAAAGTCTCTGAATACTAACATGTTAGGAAAGCAGTAATTGTTGCAAGGATAGAAAAAGGTGTCAAATTCATCATTTATACTGCTGTCACTTTGCAAACTTATCTCTGTCATCGTCATGTGATGTTATTTAGGGCTTTTTCTACACATTGGATTGTTAGACAATGTTATTTAGTGTACCTACTCACACAATACTTCCCCCACTATAAGAAGGATGAAACATTGTGGCAACAAAATTTTAGCTTAGTAGCAGAAGAATCTCCATGATACTGTACCTCTTTTTTGAGCCATCTGTTGTCCAGAATTTCACCACAGCTATCCTTGTCCAAGTTATTGGTGGCTTTCTGGGAATCCAAATTTTTCAAATAGTTTTTTTTCAAAACAAAAGCTAATAAAAATATATTATTTAATTAATACAAAATGTTACTCTATAAAGCCTACTAAGCATTTACTACCAAATAAAATGAATTTAAAATGAAATTCTCAAAGTTAATAAGTCAAGTAAAATGTTTAATTAAACATAGCATGCTAACATTGTTTGTAATTTCTTGTCAGATAATTTTTTTAGAGGGGAGGCATGGTGTTATACTGTACACATGGAATCAATGAAGAGAAGAAAAGCAAGGGTTTTTTGGCTGTACCTCATTTGCTATGTCCTTCTGTTTTGATATTGTTGATTCAGTATAAGTTTCGATTTCATCTCTAGCTATCTTCAAGCTTCTTTCTAAATGAGCTGTAAGTGGTAAACAGTGCCAGAAAAGAAAATAACATATTTATTAAAATTACTAAAACAGTAGCTGCAAATACACACAAGACCTCCGCCCTTTAACATCTACAAAATTATAATTATAACTAGTGACAACAATTCTCCTGGGATTCACGGGCAATACAGTACTCACTGATCACACTTAAGAATTTTATCCTTTGACGTGTTTCTTAGTTCTATTGACACACAACTGTAGATCTTATAAGTGCAGACTGATCCAAAAATTCCAATATGTAAAATATAATGAAAAGGAATGCCAATGAGGAGCAAGAGGGGTTGGAATAAACGAACACTGTCAGGAGTTATATACCAAATTATCTTCGGTTATTTGTTATAAATGCATGCCATTTTAAATTAATACTTACTGACAGAATTTGGTGTTGCTTTTATGTAGCCCTTTGATGTTGACATATAAAATAATTATTTTTACTGGTGTCCATTTGTTTTCCTACAGCACCAGCTGAGAGAATTCTAATAATTTATGGACATATCAAACAATAAGAAAAGCAGCATTTGGCATTTCTTTCCTTCACTCTGACCTGCGTGTTCTAAAATTAAGCTGCCAAATAGTCACTCCTTACCTGCAATGTCATCATGGGAATCCTGCATTTCTTTCAGATCTTGTTTTAGTATTACTATTTGCTTTGCATGTTCCTCAGCACCTCTGTCCTAACATTACAAGAAATATGCAAAAAGGAACAACAAATTAATTTTCTTGGTCAAGATTTATTCAAAAGTGCTAACTAAAAGTGTACATGACTGTATAAATTTGTATGATTACACTGTCTTATCTGTATAAATGAAATGGTCTCTGGGGCCGATACAGGATTTTAGAGAAGGAGTTCGAGAGCATCCTCCCTCAGAAAATTTTCAAAATTGAGGTCCTTGGAAAAGGGATAATTTCCAGCATTCTGAGACCAAGTCAGTTATTTGCCTTTATTCACAAAACATGGTCAGTAGTTTCATTCCATTTAGGATCAAATGCATTTTTTCATATTAATTTTTTACAAGTCCTATGACAATTTGCCTAGCTGTTTTAATTTAGGGGGTTCGACTGGTCCCCCCAAATCCCCTAGATCCGCCCCAAGATCTCTTCACTGGTCGGGTATTGACCTACAGTAGGTAGAATACAAAAATTTGACGCTTTACCTTCATGATTTTATTAGTGCATGATTTAGTAAAAGCTAGCAAATGTGGACTATTTAAAACTTTAAGAGGCTGATTTTTTATTAGTGTGTGGTTCTAGCAATAGCCTACATGGAAAAGTTAGTGCATTGAACTCCAGACTGAGTAATGCTGGGGATACCTCTGTGATGGACTAGTTAGCAACCTGACTAGGTGAAGCTGAAATACCCTTACTTGATCACTTCATGCTGCCGAATAGACACAGTTCAGGGCTATTATTTAGTATTATTAATAATACTGTACCCGATACTCTTCAAGCTTCTTTATATTTCTTCTCACATCTGCTATTTCAGCTTCCTTCTTTTCAATCTGATCATTGAGTACTAGAGATGAAAAACATTAATAAAAACACTTTAAACCAGAATTTGTTCTTAGCTACCTTATACCTTATTCAAATGTTAAATTATACATGTTATCGTAAACATTATTATATTAAATAATATAGATAATATTTATTAATAATTTTGGATTGTGCAATTTGATTCAAGTAATTGCAAATGGAAATGAGAAGATCAAACTCAAACATAAATTATTCAAATCAGTTTACACATTGTAAGATTTATGTTATTAGAGTATAAGAATCATTATTTTTAAGAACATTAATTTAATTTGTTTACTTAGCCACTTATTTCAATCTAATGTTGTGGGACTCAAGGAAATGGCTAGTATCCTTTTCAGTACACATTTCCTATGCAATAAAAAAAATAAATAAATAACTTACAATAATTTCCAATGTGAAAAAAAAAAAAATTATTTCAGTGTACCTTGAACATCAGCTTCTTCAGCCTTCATTGTATCAAACTTTCCCACCAGTGCAACCTCGACTTGTTCATGTCCCACCTCAGCTGCTTTCTCAACTTCCTTATCTTTCTCCTTTACTTGCTTTAACAAAGTTTTGATGTGTAGAAGCTGCTCTTCCTTCAGTCTTTGGTTCTTTAAAATTATTGAAAGAGACAATAAATACAATGAAAAAAAGATTACATTTTACAGTTAACTGGAGACCTAGAATTATTGAGACTTAAGTTCTTAAAACTTTGCTGTTCTCATAAATATTTGACAATAATCTATGATAAAGAAGTGGACGCGTGGTGGCCTCACAGTTAGTGTGGTCGCCTCCAGATCGAGCAGTCAACCTTGTTCAAGCCCTGGCCTGGATACATTCATGTGTTGTGTTGTTGGGAAAAATGCTTTACTCTTGCAGTGGCTCTCTCCACCCAGGTGCATCTTAGAAAAAATCCCTTAGATGGAGGAGGTATGAATATTTTCTAGAACTACACATTGGATGTTAGCACCCTTCTTGCTGACAAAATAGCTAAAACTAACTAGATCATTCTATACCCTAACTGGCTACAGGAAAGCAGAGACAGAGATTTGTGCAGGTCAACCCACCAAACATTGTCAGCCTCCCACCCTCCCCTAAAAAAATTATGGCAAAGTGTCAAGTGCCAGGGGGAGGGGGACCGCTTGCCCCTCTAGTATACATTTCTTTGTAACAATTGGCAAATTTGGCATCCCATATTTCCATGCATTTGCATTGTCAGATTCTTACGAAACTTTGCAAGTTTATTAAATTCAGCATGATAAATTGATCTACGGTTTTTTTTTTTCTTTGTTTATGAAAAATATGAAAAACTGTACTTTGAGATATTTGTATGAAATTGTGGAAGTGGTTCATATATCCCTTACCCTGTCTTTAAGTCTTTCATTCTTTTCCTTGAGGGATTGCAAATCATACATTAGATCATCAAAATTCCTTTGTTTTACTTCTATCCTGTAATTTAAACACAAAAATAATAATTGCAATACTTTCTGCAAGAACATATGGGTCACTGACCCTCCATATGCCTTTTGTCAATAAAGGAATATAACTTAATTACTGTGAATACTTAAAACAAAGCTGAGCATGTTATTACAGTCAGATTTAAGCTTGTGTTGTTAAGATTCAGGAAATCTATAAAAAGCTCTTAGAGCTTAATTAATTTTTTAAACAGCATGGTGTTTGTTGCTTAGCAATTTATTTATATGAGGATAAATAAATCCACCTCTACAAAGAACTGTTTTGCAAATACCGTTCCCAAAAATGTGCAATGGATTCCCAAATAAAACCAAAAGCAAGGTAGAGTAATTCGTCGCAGTCTACCAACTATGAAAGTGAACTCACTGGAAAGCAACGATGGCTTCTTCTACCGTCAGCTTGGGCTCCTTCGACGCGCCACTTTTCTTTCCTTTCTTTTTCTTTCCAGAAGCTTTCTTCTTTCCAGATTTCTTTTTAGGAGGCATATTTAAGTATTTTCAATGTAAATGGGGGTAGAAATGCGTTTCTCCGGGTTGTAAGTTGTGCATTTTCCCCACTCAAATTACTGTAACTACCTCTTACAGCAAAATGACAACATTGGCGCTGAAGTTGATCGCCAGGAGTCTGGTTCTAGTTGATGCGAAAAGGCCACTGGGAGTTACTTGATTGAGCGGACATCTTGCTTTGGTAGCGATGATGGCGACGTCTACCGAAACTGGAGACAGACAAGACACCAAGAGGCTTGAATCAAAGAAGCAAACCTTAGATGATGCTTACGCAGCACCAGCGAACTTTTTAGAGATCGATGTTGTCAATCCCGAGACACACGGAGTCGGTAAAAAACGTTACACTGACTACGAAGTCCGCATGAGGGTTGGTACATTTGTAAATCTGCGCTTAGTTAAAAATATTTATCTGCCGGAATTTATTTTAACACATTCGATGAAATCATTTGTTAGTCATCCTTGTTTTAGTGATCTTATTCTATTATTCTGCGAACGAAAAAGTCATTGGCATATGTCCTTGTTACGGGGATCGATTGGTCACCGGGAAATACGAGTTCATTTAATTGACGCCTACTTACTCACATTGTAAGGGTTTGATTTACGTTTACAATCACTTTTACTAACCGATCGTGATTAACTGTGGTAGTGCTACAGATTACACTGCCAGATAAGAGCACATGGTGTACAACGGAAATTTTCGACCTGATTTAATACCAAATCATTTTGTTTGTTATGGAGTCTTTCCTAGAACGAGGCGTAGAACAGTAGACACTTCTTACTCAGTGAGATACACTTAACAAGGCCTGTATTCTGGAGTTTAGCTAAACTCTAGAATACTTACACTTGCAACAACAAGGGTACCAGACAGCACCTGCCTTATCCAGCACAGCACTGCAGGAGATGTACATCACTACAGCTTCTACATGTATACTTCACACAGATAATAAATATTAGGGGTTCGAATGCACTACCACTGCCTGGACATTAGACATTGCAAAACAGTAAACGTTTTAAGTCTGCACTCTTTGAATGACTGAGGACCTATTTTACTTACTTATTTGTTTGTTTTTCATTGTCCAGTCACTCTGTACACCACACAATTTTAGTAGTTTGCAAACCTGGGTTGCACTCAGGATGAGGTGGGAAACAGTTGTCCAGTAGTAATTGTTAAATCTATTGTTGGACGACATGTATATAACAATATCCCTACCTTATTTGCATTATGCAGACCTGTCACAATTTCAATATTTTTCTCCTATGGCAGACAAATCTCCCAGTTTTTAAGGTCAAAGAGTCATCTGTAAGGAGACGGTACAGTGACTTCAAATGGCTAAGAAGTGAATTAGAAAGGGACAGCAAGGTAATAACAAACTTACTTTAGAACTTCATTTATGGTTTTTCCTTCTCCCTTCACTCCTCCTTCCCTCCACTGCCCTGAAAAGGAATTAAAGCTCTCTAACAACTAGATGATTGATTTATGATTGCTTTTACTTTTGCTTAGTACTGTAGTTGGTTGGAAAGATTCTTGCAGGCTATATTATCCAACAAATGAATGTTAACTGCAACCTTGTGACCTAAACTACCAAAAAGAAGTTGATTGTCTCCAGAAGGTCACAAATTCTGCTCCAGCTGCGAGGTTGATCTACCAGAACTGCTGCTTGATTTGGCTTGGGGGCAAGTAACGATTATGTGCTTACCTTTTCAGATTGTGGTACCTCCTCTTCCTGGCGATGCATTAAAGAAACAATTACCATTCAGAGGAGATGATGGTAAGGGGCTGTTGTTTTCTCTTGAGATTAGAGATTTATAACATAATATGACCTGCCTTGGTCATTTAAGACATTTAACTCAGGGGTTTCATTAATGTTTACAGCAGGATCGGAGGGCAACTGGTTTTCACTGGCAGGCAAAACATCTTGAACAGAACATCTTTATAAGAAAAACTTTTCTCTTGATGGTCAAACCAGGCAGGCAAAATCATCCTCACAGCTGGTCAATTTGCCCAGTGCCTGGCCCTTAATGAAACATGTCTTCTTATTTGTTACTTTAAGAGTTTCATTCATTTTCCTTCTAGGAATTTTTGAAGATGATTTTATTGAAGAAAGAAGGCAGGGCCTAGAAGCATTTGTCAATAGGTATGAACAAGTTTATAACTCTTGTATATTAGACTCAAAATATTTGTATGCAGCATTTGAAACACAAGAGACATTATCACATCTCCAAATAGTGTGGAGGGATAACAATGTCATGCATGGCAGAGCAATTTTGACAAACTTTGAAGTGACAGTTTGGAAATGTGATGATACACTTTTTGAGTCATTTAGATATAAATCTTCTCCATAAAAACTAAGGTAAACATAAACAATCCAAAAATATCAATGCTAACTGAGAACACAGTTCTAATTAGTACTCTTGGCTCTCTTAGTCATGTAAAGGTAAAGGCAGAGTCTGTATATGAGCAAAAAGGCCCAGCAGGTCATCGCTCAGCTCTGGTTCTAGTGGCATGAAACAACTAGGAGTATTTCAACTCCCCCCTGGCTGGGATGCTAGTGCATTGTGGGGTTACCCCACAGCATTAAATTTGCCAGTACCCATTTATACACTTGGGTGGATAGAGACACTGCGAGAGTGAAGTGTCTTGTCCAGGAACACAACACAATGTCCCTGGCCAGAACTCGAACCCAGACCACTTGATCTGGAGTGAAGCGCACTAACCACAAGGCCACCACACCTCCACGTCTTAGTCACATACTAAGTTAGTTATCATATTAAGTCATTTTTAACTCATATCTTTGTTTATTTCCAGGGTGTCTGGACATCCCCTTGCTCAGAATGAACGCTGTCTGCATATGTTCCTCACAGAACCCATTATAGATAAAAGTTATGTGCCAGGAAAAGTTCGAACCACATAAAATAGGATACAATATTGATTAGGAAAGCCCAGATGTGAACAATGCCTTGGGACTATTTCAACAATCAAACATTATCAATGGCTTTAACCCTTTCGGCCCAAGCAGATCAGGATATAATTTCTTGTAAAACTTTAAGTACAAAATGAGACATTTAGGTCAGGAGAATACAATGAGTAATCACCGATAATCAAAGTTACTGCTCTAAGAATTGTATGTACACCATTTGTATGCAGGTATCAGGTGCGACGTAGAGGGTTCAAGTTTATATTATATATATTAATTTTTTTAGGAAAAAGCCAAACGATTTGATTGCAAGTGGTTTGGTCCGCAACATGAAATTACTGGCGTGCTAATTTGGTTACGAAATTTAATAATGAAACATTACACTCCTGATTGAAAACATTGTTTCTTATATTTTTACATAAGAACGCTTAGTATAACCAACAAACCTTTTGCAATTACTTCAAGTGGGCATGCCCAGATGTACACAAAGCCTAAGAGAATTTTATGCAGGCCACTGTGACCATATTTGCAATTAGGCAATTCGAAGCCATGTCTGTCCTAATGTCCTGCGATTTGAAATAACTGACCTGATGTGGCTACAATGTCGTGGTCACTTGGCTGAATTTGGGTATGGTAAATATGTCATTGTACCTTTTTTGGTACACTTTGGCAGTGTATCAGGCTTGTTTGGCCTTGCCATGAGTATTTTGGCTCAATGATGTATCGCCAAAGTAAAACCCATGGCTCTACCAAACTCCCCTAATATGCCGCCAAAGATTATCAAAAAGGTGATCGTACTTTCCAAACGAATGTTTGATTTTATTTGTGCATGGTTAGTTCGTGCCTGTGCTGTGATGAATAGCTCAGAAACTAGCGATGTACATGTAGGCGTGTTTTCCAATGTTGTGCATTTGACAATTCAAGGTTACCAAGTGATATTAGCATCAAGAAACTAATTGTTCGGTAAAGCCAAATAAATGTAGCATTTTGTAGCCCCAGAACGGTAATGATCAGAATAAACTGGACTGTACATTTAACAATCTTTTAAGAAATTGATAAGAGTAGGCAGTGACAGCATCATTGAAGTTACTAAGTTCCCATTGAACCTAGACAACCAAGCCTTTATCATTACCACTACAGTAAACTGTTGCAGCAAACACAGGCACAGACACACCTAGTTGCTTAATAATTATGCATCAGTCTTATTGTTTTGGTTGTCAGTACCACGTAATCACTTATTGGGCAAGTCCAGTTATCCAAAAAAGAAAGGGGCATTACTCGTAGAAACCTGTTAACACTGGCTAGCTTTCCCAAAAAGTTTCTGTCAAGCTCTTTCATGAATCTGTTGATTCGATACAATTGCTTTTATTGCAATTATCAGTGGTTTGACATACAAACCAGGCAGAAGGGTCAATACTGCTTTGTGCTGACCCTCATGCCTCATTTCTAAACCTTCTAAACAAAGAATATTTGACCACAGACTCAACTACAATAACAGCTACTCCTCAAAATTTATCTGGGACCTTTATGTTTGTCATAACAACGAACACAATAGAATTGTTGCTTTTGTACAATTTGTTAGTGTGTGGATTGCAGAAAGAAAAATTAATTTTTACATATGGTAGTGTGAGCTTTTGTCCTGGATGCATTGCTACTTTTTATTAGTCTTAAAGCTCCATGTGTCGTATTACATAGAAATTTTCTGGGCCATGTGCAAATGGTGACAGAGCAGTAATTTCAAATGCCTATTAGCAAAACAAGACTGTTTCTTTCTTAGAATTTACTGTTAACTTTTTAAACAGAGGATAATAAAATTGAGTAATGTAGTAGTTTACATCTGTTCAGTAATACCACAGCAGTTATATCTAGCTTACAGTTTTTTAATAAATCAATTTTGCTATAAAACCTTGAAGAGTTTTGTGAACTACCACAATGGGGAATTCTTTACAGCAAAGACATGTAATTAAGTTAAATAAAAATAATGTCCTAACACCCAGAGCATTTGAATAGGCCTAAGTGAGGAAAATTCAACCCTGGGCAACATGGCCACATTTGCTTCTGGATGCGAAATTCAAATTGTCTTGTCTGGTCAACTAATGTATTATTTCATTTAATTTCATTTTTTTATCTTTTTTTGCTGCAAGCAGACACTTGTACATGACTTCAGCTATCAAGAATACTAAGAGTACTTTCAATTTCTGAGAAACCTGAAAGTGAACACCCTTAGGACTTGACCTACTGACTGTTAACAGAGACTTCTCTTATGTGAGGTTACAAAATAATTCGGTGTTTGCATGTAGCTGGGACAATGACTAAGTGTCCAGACATTGGCGGTACCTTTTCCTAGGAAACTGGTCCATTAGCTGCAGTTCAACTGTATTCTCATAGCCTAAAAAAACTGAATTGCTTGAGAGCAGGAGAGAGAGATTTAAGACTCGTCCAAGAATATTTCACACCGATAAATGTAGCTGTTCTGATATTATTACAAAAACAGGATCAAAGCCATTTAATGGACAAAACAGTGGCCTATTCAGATTAAGATCAGTTCAAAATATTTCAGGTAAGATCTCAACTCTTGCATTTCCGAAAACAGATGCCTGCTAACACCTGGCTAATTTTTTGCACAAAGCTTATTTAATTAAAAAGTCATTTACAAAATGATCTGTTCAAAGGGTAACTGAAGCCTGCGATATTCCAGTTTCATCCTTATCTCTTCTCTTGGGTCTTTTGTGGATACCAATGTCGTAGCAGTGCCAGGCCTCCCCTGCCGTCCTACCCTCCCAGCAAGATGTAAGTACTCATCAATATTCTTTGCGACTTCCGTCAAATAAACATGGTTCAGCTCTTTAAAATCCAGACCCCTGACAGTTTCCTCTGTGCCAACCACAACATTTATTTTCCCAGTCCGAAAGTCAGTAAGGAATTTTTTATACTCTTCATGATCTTGATTAGCAACTTGTTTGTAGAGAGCGATGGCATTTATGCCTAGCTCTTTTAACTCCCAGACAAAACTGTCGACTGATTGGAGACGATGAATAAACACCAGGGCTGACTTCTGGCCTGAATCCATGAAAATTCTAATAAAAACAGATTTAATGTTGACCATCAGTGAAAAAGGCACTGTGAGAGTTAACCCCAGCAAGTGCTTTGTCCCATAACAACACAATGGCCCTGGCTGGGGCATAAACCCAGACCTCTCAGACCTCCCACAAATTTTTTGATATTCACATTATATTACCATAGTTTCTTTCATTGATGCCAAACCAATAAAATTAATTATAAATTAAAGTTTTCAATCATAACAAACTGAATTTATGGTCAACTTAAATATAAAAAGTCTGAAGATAACTAGGCTCGATTTCCAGCCACTGTTGGGGAAATGAGCCTGTGCTCCTCTCCTGAACTCACAGCATTTTTCTCGAGGAGGAACAAAGACCAGATGCAGGAGACTAGTAGAAATTGAGCCTAGAAGGTAACACGTTTTTAGCTTGTAAATAACAGGACTCACCTGGCGAGAGCCTCAGCTTTGGTAATACCAAGTGAGTGATCACAAATGACATACTGGTGCTTAATGCATGGCGGAACATTACGATGTTTTCCTTCAAGAGACGGAGACTGTATGACTGTCACATGGTCTCCCCAACCAAGTTCTATTAGGTCTTCTTTGAGTTCATCATTCACAGTTGCAGAAGCTCCAATAAGCTGAATTGGTTTGACCTTAAAAACATTCATTAAATTATACATTGAGTATATTTTTTCAAGGTTTTCCTGAACTGATCTGTTTTTCTGTTCTGTTCAATAACAGACTTCATCATTACAAATGCAAGAAACAGGTCCACTTTCTTTTCCTTTAAGTTCATGCATGTTACAATTTCCAGATCTATATATTCAGTGGTAGAGCCCGCCTTCATGTGCAAAATCTCTTCTTTTTCATTCATTTTGCAATTGGCATGCTCTTTGTGAAAGATGTAAATTTTCCAGGGACTACACGACCAGAAGATTTGCACATTCTGTTTCAATTTGGGAACAAACTTAACAGTTCCGATTTTTAATACACAAGACAGGTTATGCTACTGTTTATATGCACATATGTAGCACAGTGTTACAATTAAATAAATTGTCCCCCTCCCTAAGTTCAATAAGCACCATCTGCCTTATGCTAAATTTGAATTAAACCCTCTTGGTACATTAAGCTTTTAATAATTAATAGTACCTGGATGTGCAGAACAGTGTTGAAATAAAAAAAGTCCGCTTACTTTAGAGGTCTTAAGGATCTTCTCCACTAACAATTTTGCTGGTCTGGGATGGTTCTCTCGGTGGGTTAGCTTCTTAAATGGAGTCTTTCTATGAAGCGGCAAAAGAACTTTGTCTACTTCATCAATCACGATAGTTTTTGTGTGCTGTACAAGAGAGGGATCCTTGTCGACGATTTCAAGGATCTTCTTTGCAGTCCCAATGACTATCAAAGGTTTTCTTTTGTTGTCTTTCAATCTTGCTTCCTGTTTACTCAGATCAATACCACTCACCTAAACAGAAATTAAAACAACAGAAAATGAGTAAATTTAAATTACTTATGCATTAATAACAAACTAACCCTGTATCAAAGAGGAATCTACAAGAAAAAATATCTAATATGCTAAAATGCATCATATCTATTGTAGTTGTTAATGATCACATTATACAGATCACAATTTAAACTACTAAACAAGAATAAAAACTTGCTAATCCTCAGTAATACTTAGAGTGATACATGTAACTATGTAGATATATGTAAGCCCTGGATCCTTATAATGCCCTGGTGTCCACAGGGTACAAGATAATGCCAACAGAGACTCCACCTGACCAGCAAATTATTACATTATCACATTGAATTGAAATGGTCTTGGTCACAGGAAAGGTACATATTTAACAACTACAGATGTCTTGTGTTCAAAGGTATAAATTAAAACCAATTTCTACAGGATTATTGTTTTACTCCAAGGGGAGAAGAGGAGGACGGGGTGGGGGTTCACCGGCTAGACAGGTATAAAATTCATAGGGAAAAGCAAAGGATTTTTCAGAGGGCTCGAAAAGAGTGACTTTGGTTATAAATTCTCATTGGTATTTTTCAGTTGAGTCATGCTGTTAGGTTTAGTTTGGATCACATCTTTGTTAGTACGTTTCATATTTGAGAAATTTCAATCCCCAGGGGGCACTCCCATATAAAAGAGAGGGATGCTCTCCAGAAACTTTGAAAAGAAGTACCAAGACCCTGAGCGTGGCTTGAAAATTTTTCTCCCCTAAAAGGTATTCTAAAGCAACATATTAACTGACACTGGTCTTATTTCGGCTCAATACCCTTTAAGATACAGCAAAAGCTCCTGCTATAGACCCTTAGAGGTACCAAATCCGCTTTGTTAACCCCTTAAAGGTATGACAAGCAGCCCATCCTTCTAATACGGAAGTCCCCCCTGGGATTTTAACCCTAAGGGGGTGACACTCACAAAAGACTCCACAATAGTTTTGTCTCCAAGAAGACGACGTGTCTCAAACAGCAATTGACTGGCCAATTCTCTAGTGGGTACAATAATCACTGTACCAAATGCCTTTCCAGGAAATTGAAGAGCAGGCAACAAAAACACCAGTGTTTTACCAGATCCTGTCTCTGACTGAATTAGGAGACTCTTTCTTTTAAAGATCAGTGGAATTGCTTGTTTCTGGATGGCTGTTGGCATGGTAATACCATCTCTATTTAGTTTCTCAACAAGTTTTGGATGAAGATCAAAGTCTTGAAAGGATACGATTTTTGAAGTGTCAACAGCATCAGATTCTTTCTTTGCATACTTGTCTTCTTCCCTCTCAAGTTCATTACCTTTTCTTTCCAGAATTTCTTCACCTTCCTCTTCTGTCAATGACTTGTACACTGGGGTTAAACTTGCAAAATCCCCCGCTTCGGGGATTCTGAAATCCACTGACCAGTCATCTTCAAGAAGTTCCTCTCTTTCTTCCTCCGTCAGTTCACTGGCTAGGGGTAGTGTGCTTACATTTTGAGTCCAAAATGTATTTCGCATGGGTTTTTTCGTTCCTGTCTTTGCTTCCTTGTACATAGTTTGAATGTAGCCTTCTGAAGTACTCCACAACTGCATAAAATCAGTATCTGGGCCATGTTTCTTTGTTTTCTTTCTAAGCTTAAAATGTGTCCTTTTAACATCTGATAAACCATTGAGAGTTTCGTCCTCTTTGGGTTGCTTTGAGCTATTTGAGGCAAAACAACGCGCGCAATTTACATGTCTTAGATGTAAGTTGTTCCGTAAGAGCTGCTGGATACCGAATCTTTTTAAAATGACAGATTGCATCAAGGAATGTAAAGCGATTACTCTCACTGAAATGCCGAAAAAGATTCACCCGGATTCAGGCGAGCACACACACATGTGTAATTTTCTACCAGGCGTTGCTACCCTCCAGGCTACAAAGCGGAGGTAAGCTGGTGACTATTGAACATTTGACCTCCCTGGGGAGGTGTAAGTGTTAGCAAATTATGTATTAAATGGGTCTGTGTTAAATAATAAAATAGCTTCTCTTCTATTCTGCGATTATTAAAAGATCAGTAAAGGTACATTTTAAAGAATAAATATTTTTAAAGAAGAAGCTTTGAGGGACAATGTAATCTTTGTGAAAATATTTGATTTCTTTTTTTTTTTGTCCTACTACCCACACAGTTAACATGTGCGAGCAATCTTGACATACTTGACCCCTTTTCCGTTGTGTTTCCCGCTTGTTCTGTCATGCAAAACACAGCATCAGCGTACATGCGGAACCTCCAGCACAATATATGCGGCGTTCACAGTGAACGGTCTTAAATCTTGTTGCTCTACACGACTTCGTAGTGGGTAAGTATGCCATTTTGATCCATATGACTACAGACTGAGCTCTACTGTAAGAATTGAATACTGTTAGCTTTTGTGGTACTGTGTTTGCGGCACTAAGCTTATAAACAAAGTGACAGATTTCACGCAGTCCAATCGAATTTCGAGCAGGTAAGCTCACCAGTTTTGCGCAATTTTTGTACATAAGAATATTCATTTACGGTCTCTCTCTCTCTCTCCATGCCTATCAAGGTCAAGTATCAAAGTGAAAGGTGCAGTTGTAAAGAGTAAGGTTGTACAGGGGAACAAATGGCTTTTTCGCGAAACGACATCGCAAGATACCTCTTTGTGGTATGTACGGCGGTATCAAAGTTGTGTTGTCTTCTCTGTTAAAAACGCAGTAGCTAATAGATTTATTGTCTCTGCAAAATGTCGTTAGTTAAGCTTAAAGTTGTTGATCGTGTATGATTTTAAGCTTTGTTTAAATATAAGCCCTATGCAGTTTTACTGAACCTTGCAATCAAGGGATTAATTCGTTTTCTAAGGACTAGCACCCTCTACACAAAAGATTATTCTTGATTTTTTGTTTGAGTTGTTTCATTATTGAAGATATTTTTGTGAAGGTGAATCATTGATTTAAGGTTTCACTTTCTGGGTAAAGAAAATACTTCATTTGATGGAAGGGAAGTTAATTTTTTCTGGGAAGTCTGAACGTCAGATTTTAGATGACGTGTGTGTTGTTTGGTGATTCACTCCATTATTCAAGAGGCTCTTATAAACAAGAGGCTCTTATAAACAATTGTATTGATGCGATTGGAAAATTCATTCTGACATCACTAATGAGGTATGACGTCAATGTTTTGTTCCAAAGCACTCAGCCGTCTATAAAAGAGATAATTTGTTTTGAACACGAATTACTTAAGAATGATAATGCAGATTTTTTTATCCAACTTTATTGTTAGTCAAATTTTTGGAGCTGAAATATCCAATATATAATTACATTATATAACAGTTCCAATTGAGGACTCAATATTTTTTTGTTAAAAATCCAGACCATGCTCTGTGAAACAATATTCCTAAATGGTGTTAATGATGTTGACATCTTTCTTTTACGTCATTAATTTATAACTGCTTTTTTAGTGTACAAAACTGTAGCCTGTGTACAGCCATCTAATCTCCGCAAGAAAAATTTGAGGAAGGACATCCCTGATTACAAGTATAATCAATAATCCTGTTCAAGGTCACGATTTTTCCCGAAGTGTCTGGAAGACAACCTGATTAGTTCATTGATCATGCATGGGTTAATAAAGTGTTACTACCATTTGTCGGTTTTACTGATGGATATGATGTAGAAATCTCAACGGAAGTCTTGCTAGTTTTTGAGAGAGATTCACATAAGTTTTAGAATTTTGTAGCTTAAACCAGTTTAATGGGAGTTATCACGTTTTTATGTCAACAAAATTATTCCATGAGTGATCTATTTTTGATCTGCAATTGTAGCAAAGGTCTTATATTGTCTCATGATCATGCAGTGATCATGTGCAGAGAATTAATTTCTTTTGTTGTCTCCACATGTTATGTTAAATATTGTGAGATGGAACGTGCTTTAATGCATGGATAACTTATACTAGGAAGATGATCATAAACTTCCGTGCAAAGACTCCTCTTCCCTGAATTTTTTGATTGGAACAGGTGGCTGTACACAGGCTATCAAAGCTGTTGCTCCAAGTGATGTTTCAGCCTACCCTGTGTATGCCTTTACTTGATTTCTATAACAGAGATAATTAATTTATAAATAATTTCTTTGTAAATAATTTGCTAATAGTGTGAATAAACTGTGTGACTTTTCCAATACCATGCATTTTAATTGTGATTGCATAATATCCAATGTTGTTTTTTTATTGATGATGTTTAAATTATTGATTCACTAATAGAAATATCATATTAATATTTAACAATTTTCAGATAATATGGATGTCTATAAATGTTGCCCTGTTTGTATCTACATATTTAAATTATGGGACAACAAAGAAGTACCATTACTTGAGAACAATTATCAAGGTATGGTTAAAATCATTTACGAAATAAATTAACTTGTCAATAAGCAATATTCAAAATGGAGGGTAGGTGCCAATTGACAGCAAAGCAGGCAATGAGCAAGCAAGTGAGGGCAAAATGCAAATAAAGGGGGGTAACTGTGGCAACCTCCCACAGGTCACATCCCCCTGGTACCTGTCACACTGAACTCTCATTGGAGAATAAGTATGCTCACCTGGACACAAGGGCTCACCATGAACCAAGAGGCGGGTGGGAGGGGGTAAACCAAAGGCAAAGCGGCAAAGCTAGGCAGAGCAAGACCACGAGGGCAAAACTACACAGCAATGGCACAACCACACATGCCCACGGCGATCATCCCCTGGTCAACAGCAATCTCCAATATCAATAACTCTGATTATTGATCATCTCATTCAAATGTGTTTATGACTACTTTTAAATTATCAATTTGGCAAGCCTCATTTTTCATGAACATGAAGGAACAGCAGGGAAAGAAAGGCAAAGTTTTTTGGGAACAATTTGCTTGTTCATATGAGCCACGTGAAAAACTTCAAGCCCTTGTGTGAAAACNTGAATTGGTTTGACCTTAAAAACATTCATTAAATTATACATTGAGTATATTTTTTCAAGGTTTTCCTGAACTGATCTGTTTTTCTGTTCTGTTCAATAACAGACTTCATCATTACAAATGCAAGAAACAGGTCCACTTTCTTTTCCTTTAAGTTCATGCATGTTACAATTTCCAGATCTATATATTCAGTGGTAGAGCCCGCCTTCATGTGCAAAATCTCTTCTTTTTCATTCATTTTGCAATTGGCATGCTCTTTGTGAAAGATGTAAATTTTCCAGGGACTACACGACCAGAAGATTTGCACATTCTGTTTCAATTTGGGAACAAACTTAACAGTTCCGATTTTTAATACACAAGACAGGTTATGCTACTGTTTATATGCACATATGTAGCACAGTGTTACAATTAAATAAATTGTCCCCCTCCCTAAGTTCAATAAGCACCATCTGCCTTATGCTAAATTTGAATTAAACCCTCTTGGTACATTAAGCTTTTAATAATTAATAGTACCTGGATGTGCAGAACAGTGTTGAAATAAAAAAAGTCCGCTTACTTTAGAGGTCTTAAGGATCTTCTCCACTAACAATTTTGCTGGTCTGGGATGGTTCTCTCGGTGGGTTAGCTTCTTAAATGGAGTCTTTCTATGAAGCGGCAAAAGAACTTTGTCTACTTCATCAATCACGATAGTTTTTGTGTGCTGTACAAGAGAGGGATCCTTGTCGACGATTTCAAGGATCTTCTTTGCAGTCCCAATGACTATCAAAGGTTTTCTTTTGTTGTCTTTCAATCTTGCTTCCTGTTTACTCAGATCAATACCACTCACCTAAACAGAAATTAAAACAACAGAAAATGAGTGAATTTAAATTACTTATGCATTAATAACAAACTAACCCTGTATCAAAGAGGAATCTACAAGAAAAAATATCTAATATGCTAAAATGCATCATATCTATTGTAGTTGTTAATGATCACATTATACAGATCACAATTTAAACCACTAAACAAGAATAAAAACTTGCTAATCCTCAGTAATACTTAGAGTGATACATGTAACTATGTAGATATATGTAAGCCCTGGATCCTTATAATGCCCTGGTGTCCACAGGGTACAAGATAATGCCAACAGAGACTCCACCTGACCAGCAAATTATTACATTATCACATTGAATTGAAATGGTCTTGGTCACAGGAAAGGTACATATTTAACAACTACAGATGTCTTGTGTTCAAAGGTATAAATTAAAACCAATTTCTACAGGATTATTGTTTTACTCCAAGGGGAGAAGAGGAGGACGGGGTGGGGGTTCACCGGCTAGACAGGTATAAAATTCATAGGGAAAAGCAAAGGATTTTTCAGAGGGCTCGAAAAGAGTGACTTTGGTTATAAATTCTCATTGGTATTTTTCAGTTGAGTCATGCTGTTAGGTTTAGTTTGGATCACATCTTTGTTAGTACGTTTCATATTTGAGAAATTTCAATCCCCAGGGGGCACTCCCATATAAAAGAGAGGGATGCTCTCCAGAAACTTTGAAAAGAAGTACCAAGACCCTGAGCGTGGCTTGAAAATTTTTCTCCCCTAAAAGGTATTCTAAAGCAACATATTAACTGACACTGGTCTTATTTCGGCTCAATACCCTTTAAGATACAGCAAAAGCTCCTGCTATAGACCCTTAGAGGTACCAAATCCGCTTTGTTAACCCCTTAAAGGTATGACAAGCAGCCCATCCTTCTAATACGGAAGTCCCCCCTGGGATTTTAACCCTAAGGGGGTGACACTCACAAAAGACTCCACAATAGTTTTGTCTCCAAGAAGACGACGTGTCTCAAACAGCAATTGACTGGCCAATTCTCTAGTGGGTACAATAATCACTGTACCAAATGCCTTTCCAGGAAATTGAAGAGCAGGCAACAAAAACACCAGTGTTTTACCAGATCCTGTCTCTGACTGAATTAGGAGACTCTTTCTTTTAAAGATCAGTGGAATTGCTTGTTTCTGGATGGCTGTTGGCATGGTAATACCATCTCTATTTAGTTTCTCAACAAGTTTTGGATGAAGATCAAAGTCTTGAAAGGATACGATTTTTGAAGTGTCAACAGCATCAGATTCTTTCTTTGCATACTTGTCTTCTTCCCTCTCAAGTTCATTACCTTTTCTTTCCAGAATTTCTTCACCTTCCTCTTCTGTCAATGACTTGTACACTGGGGTTAAACTTGCAAAATCCCCCGCTTCGGGGATTCTGAAATCCACTGACCAGTCATCTTCAAGAAGTTCCTCTCTTTCTTCCTCCGTCAGTTCACTGGCTAGGGGTAGTGTGCTTACATTTTGAGTCCAAAATGTATTTCGCATGGGTTTTTTCGTTCCTGTCTTTGCTTCCTTGTACATAGTTTGAATGTAGCCTTCTGAAGTACTCCACAACTGCATAAAATCAGTATCTGGGCCATGTTTCTTTGTTTTCTTTCTAAGCTTAAAATGTGTCCTTTTAACATCTGATAAACCATTGAGAGTTTCGTCCTCTTTGGGTTGCTTTGAGCTATTTGAGGCAAAACAACGCGCGCAATTTACATGTCTTAGATGTAAGTTGTTCCGTAAGAGCTGCTGGATACCGAATCTTTTTAAAATGACAGATTGCATCAAGGAATGTAAAGCGATTACTCTCACTGAAATGCCGAAAAAGATTCACCCGGATTCAGGCGAGCACACACACATGTGTAATTTTCTACCAGGCGTTGCTACCCTCCAGGCTACAAAGCGGAGGTAAGCTGGTGACTATTGAACATTTGACCTCCCTGGGGAGGTGTAAGTGTTAGCAAATTATGTATTAAATGGGTCTGTGTTAAATAATAAAATAGCTTCTCTTCTATTCTGCGATTATTAAAAGATCAGTAAAGGTACATTTTAAAGAATAAATATTTTTAAAGAAGAAGCTTTGAGGGACAATGTAATCTTTGTGAAAATATTTGATTTCTTTTTTTTTTTGTCCTACTACCCACACAGTTAACATGTGCGAGCAATCTTGACATACTTGACCCCTTTTCCGTTGTGTTTCCCGCTTGTTCTGTCATGCAAAACACAGCATCAGCGTACATGCGGAACCTCCAGCACAATATATGCGGCGTTCACAGTGAACGGTCTTAAATCTTGTTGCTCTACACGACTTCGTAGTGGGTAAGTATGCCATTTTGATCCATATGACTACAGACTGAGCTCTACTGTAAGAATTGAATACTGTTAGCTTTTGTGGTACTGTGTTTGCGGCACTAAGCTTATAAACAAAGTGACAGATTTCACGCAGTCCAATCGAATTTCGAGCAGGTAAGCTCACCAGTTTTGCGCAATTTTTGTACATAAGAATATTCATTTACGGTCTCTCTCTCTCTCTCTCCATGCCTATCAAGGTCAAGTATCAAAGTGAAAGGTGCAGTTGTAAAGAGTAAGGTTGTACAGGGGAACAAATGGCTTTTTCGCGAAACGACATCGCAAGATACCTCTTTGTGGTATGTACGGCGGTATCAAAGTTGTGTTGTCTTCTCTGTTAAAAACGCAGTAGCTAATAGATTTATTGTCTCTGCAAAATGTCGTTAGTTAAGCTTAAAGTTGTTGATCGTGTATGATTTTAAGCTTTGTTTAAATATAAGCCCTATGCAGTTTTACTGAACCTTGCAATCAAGGGATTAATTCGTTTTCTAAGGACTAGCACCCTCTACACAAAAGATTATTCTTGATTTTTTGTTTGAGTTGTTTCATTATTGAAGATATTTTTGTGAAGGTGAATCATTGATTTAAGGTTTCACTTTCTGGGTAAAGAAAATACTTCATTTGATGGAAGGGAAGTTAATTTTTTCTGGGAAGTCTGAACGTCAGATTTTAGATGACGTGTGTGTTGTTTGGTGATTCACTCCATTATTCAAGAGGCTCTTATAAACAAGAGGCTCTTATAAACAATTGTATTGATGCGATTGGAAAATTCATTCTGACATCACTAATGAGGTATGACGTCAATGTTTTGTTCCAAAGCACTCAGCCGTCTATAAAAGAGATAATTTGTTTTGAACACGAATTACTTAAGAATGATAATGCAGATTTTTTTATCCAACTTTATTGTTAGTCAAATTTTTGGAGCTGAAATATCCAATATATAATTACATTATATAACAGTTCCAATTGAGGACTCAATATTTTTTTGTTAAAAATCCAGACCATGCTCTGTGAAACAATATTCCTAAATGGTGTTAATGATGTTGACATCTTTCTTTTACGTCATTAATTTATAACT